ATCAGCGCTACCTTAAGAGAAAGACTGGTTACTGAAGAAAAGGTGTCCACCCTGAGGGGAAGTGGTGAACAGATTTACTTATTACAAAATATCAGCTGACAGTTGATTTAAATCCTACATATATAGCCTAAAACCCATTATAAGATGCTTAGTAATGAAGATGCTAACGGTTTACCTGACTTAATAAGAAACACAATGCAGAGTGGGCATCATACCTAACTTGAGAGGTTCAAACTCAGGTAAATGGGCACAAGCACAGAGCTGATAGAAGATGTGATAGTTTCTCTCCTCACATGCCTAAAACCGGAAACAGAAACTGACCGCTTTAGTGCAAGTCAAGTGATATTTCCACATAAATACATCAGATTTTATATTTCAGGTAGATGTTTTATATTACTGAAATCAATGGTGACTCTTTCAAACTCTTTAAATAAGTATGTACTGTAGCTGAGATGAATGAGCAGAAGACTAACCTGAAACACCACTCTAGACTTTTCCAGAAGGTACGTCCTCATGTTGGCTCCAATGATGTGGTGTTTCCTGTCAAATCCAATCTCAATATACTTCCCAAAGCGACTGCTGTTGTCGTTTCTCGTCGTCTTGGCATTTCCTATAGCCTACACACAGATGAAAGCCTCAGTATGAGAAGTTTTTTGGAAGAGATGTAGATCTGTTTGGGAGTTTTACAGGCCAGCAGAAGCTAGCTATCATACCTCCATGATGGGGCTGGACGCCAGCACTTTCTCCTCCACGCAGGCCTCAGCAGAGGAGCCGCTGACCGTGGCGAAGTAACGCATGGCATATTTAGCAGAAACCGTCTTCCCTGCACCAGATTCTCCACTCACGATGATGGACTGGTTCTTTTCATCTCTTACAGGAGGAAAACGAGAGAATGCATTGTAATTGCCAAAAACTATGGACAGTTGCTTAGATGCACTCTATTCTTCGAATCTCTTACTATTGCAAAAAGGTGCGCGCACATACCTGGCCATCTGTTTATAGGCCTCCTCTGACACAGCAAAGATATGTGGGTCCATATCACCCATGTTCTGCCCACTGTAAGCATTGATGATATCTGATCCATATATTGGAAGACTTTCATATGGATTGATGGCAACCAGAATGATTCCTATTTTTTATTTTAAAACAAATAAATGGTTAGATTTTATTTTTACATTTCTGGAGTTCTGGGTCAAAGGTCAGACTGAATTACAACGCATTTTCAGACTCTTTTTTTTTTTTAATACTCTACATACTGTATGCAAAACAGTCTAATCTAAGAACAGGAGTCCATAACTCAAAGTCTAATGAGCTGTGCAGTACAGATGACAAGCTCAGCTAGGCCACATTTTATGGTTCATATTCACTAGTAATATCTGCTGCACACGGGAGTTCCAAAGTCTACAGGTCAATGCTCAGATAAAATTAAATTAAATTAAATTAAATAAAAAAAATAAAATAACATAAAATAAAAAAAAATAAAAAAAATAAATAAATAAATAAAAAACAATAAAATAAAATATAAAAGTAATTTACAATTCTATTAAATAAAAACAACTTAAATTAAACTAACAGAAAATATGTATATCAAACATAGTCACTAGTAATATCTGCTGCACACGGGAGTTCCAAAGTCTACAGGTCAATGACAACTTAAATTAAACTAACAGAAAATATGTATATCAAACATAAACAGACTAGCCTCAGACATACTGCTTTCATAATGACACTGAACTGAATAGAAATGCAGGTCAATGCTCAGAAATAAAATAAAAAAATAGTAATCAAATCAAATAAAAAGTGAAATATTGAAAAATCTGATTACATCAAATAAAATTTATTTAAAAAATAATTAATCTGAATAAAATAACATTAAAAATTTCAACAAAATAAAAAAAGAATAAATTTTTTTTTTTTAAATATGAAACTAACAGACTACAGATTGAACAGACTCAGACATACTGCTTTCATACTGACATTGAAGTGAATAGAAAAGTCTGATCTTTGATATATCTAATAAGCAATGTCACAAACCGCAGTAGGTGTAGATGAGTTTGGAGTCTGTGAATCGGACCCGGAGGTTGTGCAGAACGGCCGGTTCATGGAGGTAACTGAGAGCCGTGAGGTCATTCTCGCCCACCAGGATGTCCGGGTTACGAAGAGGAGGCAGAACACCACTCTTTGGGTCCAACTTGTACTCAAACTCCTGCGAAAAGTTACTTGAGTTCAACTGCAGCTACTGTGGGGAATTAAAAATGCTCTTAAACTGAATCTATTGCCTTGTCCTATAATCTTCGACAGAAGTTATTTGTTGCATATGTTCTGTCACGAGCTCTACTGTCTACATGCCGTTGATTTTACTTTTATTAAACCCTGAATACTCCTTTAATGTAAAACAAGCGAGTTCATCAGATCATCTTGTGCACACATGCAGCTTAAACGCCAGTTATGTTGTGGGTAAAACATGCAAAAAGCTTCGGGTATCACTGACACACTTGCAGGAGATAAATTTATCTCAGGAAAACCACAAGCTAAACTACAGATACTCATCTTTGGCCTGGTGACTGACTGCACGCCAGTTCAATGTTACACAGAGCAATGGGTGCAGTTACTGAACTATGCTGGAATTGGAATTCCACACCCATCCTTTTTTCCACCAGTCTGACTCAACTCTGCCTCAAACTTGACTCAGTGCTGACTCAAGCAGTCTTCAAAAGCTTTAAACCACCTGATCTGGTCAAATTGGTCATGTTTTCCCTTCATACCCATGTAGGACGGGTATACTGGATCTTAAGCTTTTACAAAACAGGATGTATGTGAAAGAACGTTGATACTCTCACGGTCTCATCCTCCAGCTGTAGATGTAGGACAGTGTCTCCGGGCTTGTAGTCTTTGGTGAGCTCTGCTGATCGCCACACCTCTGTGGTGTCTGGGATCCAGACTCGAGCAAACTGCAGGCGGTCAACATCATGTTAGTTTGAGTAGCATTATTTTTTTTAATGCAATTCAAAGCAAATCTAAAATGGTGTAATGCATATAAATAATCGAATTAATAAAATGAATAATACAGCATTTTATTACAATATTTTGTGTTTTCATTTTTTTTTTTTATCAAACGTGATTGTTTTATCAATGCATTCATATTTAAAACAAGAATTACATATTCCTTTTAGGTTTAACATTGTGAAATTGTATAATTTATTTAAAATTAGAGCTGCAACTGAGATATGTATTTGTTTATTTTTACTTTTCTTTCAACTTCAGTCAAGCATCTGATTGCTTCATCAATGCATTCCCAGTTTAAACAATAAATTAAATATTATTTCTAGATTTAATATTATAAAATGGTCTAATTGACCTAAAATAAGAGATGCAAACCAGATTAAAGTTATTAATTAATCTTTAATCAAGCCTCTGATTGTTGTGTTATCAATGCATTCCTCGTTAAAACAAGAAATTAAATATTATTATTATTAAAATAAAAATAGATCTGCAAATATACCTAAATATAAGAGCTGCACCTCCGATTAACACATATTTTTTTGCTTTTCTTTGAACAAGCATCTGATTGTTTTATTATTGCATTCATATTTAATGCAGGAGTTTAAAATGTATTATATGTTCAGTGTTTGTGTGTTTGAATACAATCCGCTGAATGTTTGATAATTACACAAAAATAAATTCTAATTAATTCTATTAGCCTTTTTAAAGTTCCCCACAAAAAAAGTGCTGTATGACTGGACTGTGTGGATGGTACAATGTTGCACATGTACTTTCCACTGCTCAGATGCGAAAGTAGCGGGGTTTAAACTCTCATACCTTCGAGTACAGCTCCGGAGCTGCCATTGGGCTCTGCCTGGGCTCCCGTTACTCCACAAACATCGCAAGTCTCTGCGTCTGCTGCGATTTAGAAAACAGACATCGAAAAACGCCAAAGTTTCTGCAATCTCTTGGCTGGTGGTGTGGAAGTGTGACAGCCAGCCGCCGGGGAAATACATTGAGTGGCACAGTTTAATGACTAATCCGCCAGGGGGCGCTTGGTGGCTCAATCAATGCGCCGCTTCTCCATTGAGCCGCATTTAAATTTTAGGATGATTTTTGTCTCACTGGAAACATGTGCACACAAAATAGTGTAATCGTTTAATTAAATTAATTACCAAGACAGACATCTGGCATACAAATGAAAACTCGTGCTGGTATTTCATATAATCTATTAAAAATTAAAAGCAATCAGCTAGTAATCACAACCGTATATGATTGGTCCGTCCTGACCGCCGCTGTGAAAAGTAACAGGTACCACGTGACAACAACGGAAAAGACTGATACATTTCTGTCGTTTTATTTTCAATTTAATAAAACAATACAATTAAATGTAAACTGACTGTGAGAAGTATAATAATATTAGGATTATTTTAATATAACATAAAACATTATTTCTATTTAACTTCCGGGCCACCAAACCCCGCCCATTTAATATTTTATGTTCATTCTTCCCGCTTGTTGTATTTCAATGTGCCAAGCATCCTTTCCAGTTCCAAGTAGGCCAGGTAACGTTATAGGTACAAACCATTATCATTTTCAAGACTGTTGAACAATTTATTTTCGTATGTTTTACCAAACCTACAAAATCTATGGAAGTTATTTATATATCGCCGTCTTCTCTGCTGCTGCTGTCCTGAAGCTGTTTGCTCTTCATTTGAAGTTGACATTAGTCACCGAAAATAAAAAGAAGGGAAAAAGGGCGGGAAAGACGCCGTCGCTTGCTTTGGCCATATTATAGCCACCTGAAAAAGAAACTATAAGAATGAATGCCATGGAAACAGGGCCATGCATTATTTATGTCTCTTCAGATGTGAATTGGTTATTTGTATATCTACAGGTGCATCTCAATAAATTAGAATGTCGTGGAAAAGTTCCTTTATTTCAGTAATTCAACTCAAATTGTGAAACTTGTGTATTAAATAAATTCAATGCACACAGACTGAAGTAGTTTAAGTCTTTGGTTCTTTTATTTGTGATGATTTTGGCTCACATTTAACAAAAACCCACCAATTCACTATCTCAACAAATTAGAATACTTCATAAGACCAATAAAAAAAAAAAACATTTTTAGTGAATTGTTGACCTTCTGGAAAG